ATAATAAAATTAAATTAAAATCATGAAATACATAAAAATAGATATATAAAAAGTGATAATGTATATATAACAACGATAAAAACTGTAATGAAAACAGAGAAATATAGCTTGTAGTGAAATAATACAGAAAATTCTTAAGAAAATTTAAAAAAAAAAATTAAATAAATAATTATTAATGATAATAAAAACTTGATATTAGAAAATTACATCTTTTTCCAATTTAATGAATTGGCTCAATAGTTATAGTTATATTATATGGTAACCGCGAGAAACGCTTGTAAAGCCGTTTCAAAAAAACTCTTTTATTTTTTTTTTATATCTTATTGACTAACGAAGCGAAATTTTTACGCTAATGTCTTGAATCGATAATAAGACAGTGATTAAACTGTTTGCATTTATATTTATATTGTATCTACATTCTACAAATAACAGTTTCAACTGAAAATCTAAACGCTGTTCCTTAACAGAGACTAAATATTTCTCTTTTATATAGTGTTGCCCAAATGCGAGACCGAGACGAGTCGTAGTCTTGCAAAATCAGTCTTAGTCATGGTCTTGGTTTTGCGCAAGAGTATTGTAATTATATATTAGCTCATTACTATAAAGATATTACATTCATTTTTTAGATAGGAGAGACCTAACTAAGCCCGAATGAAAGGTTAGAGGAGTTAAATGCAAAAGTATATTGGTTATACCAATTGGTAACATATAGTAACTAAGATTGTCGAGTATTAGTAACTATTTTGCCTTAATTGTTATTTAAAAAATCAATTTTTTCTACCAGTCCTGGTCTTGGTCTTGTAACAGTAAGGCGTCCTTGGTCTTGGTCTTGCAAAGTGGAAGACCAAGACCGATTTTGGACAAAACTACTTTTATAGTATACACTTTTTTTTTTATTTTTAATGTTTGATTTATTTTCAATGTTCCTCAGTTGTTAAATCAAATTAACACACTTTTAGTTTGTTAAAACATATACATTAAAATTTACTAATGGAAACGGTACATGAAGTATATACAAATCTGTGTTTTATAATATACCGACACCTATCGGATAAACAAAAATTAGAACAACAAATACAGGAATAATTAAGATACATGCATAAAAAATACGTAAACATTGTTTATTATTAAACCAGAAGTTTGCATTAAACATTGCCAAGTATCAACAAGACCCGGGAAAACAAGACTATTCCTGGACCGTGACGGATTGCAAAAAGCTTATGTTCTTTGTTATAAATCTTGAGTTCATGAATACGGAACATAATAACTTTCTAGCTAATGCATTATCCTTCCATTTACAGTCGACATTACCCCCGCATTACATCATAGCTTCTTGATTTCAAAGGCAAGGATTATGGTTTAATTTCTCTCGAAAGCCTATAGCAAATGCCCTAGAAGGTTATAATGTCCCTGACAATATACAGCCGTAATCTTGGAATATGTTCAATCCCTCTCATGTGGATGTATTCTCATATTAAGATACAGAAGGAATTAAGGGATAACCCTTTATCTTATATATTCATTATCCTGTAAGGTGGTACCCTGATAAATATATTTAGCACCAGAGTTAAATTTATTCGTCGATAATACAATTGCAATGGGTTACTAACTACATAGATTTTGCTTATTTGTTTTACTATTGCATATTAACCAACTAGTTTATTAACCATTCTCCATACATATTCGCAAATGATATGTACATTACATACAACATGTAAACTCAACATTCATTACATTTTTAATAATGTCATTGCTTAATAAAATATGTAGATTAAACAAAATCTTAACAAAAAGTAAAAATTAAAAGCAACAAAACTAGAATAAAAATAAAATTACAAATTGTACTGGATTTCCATAAATAATATGTTATTCATGATAAGCAGCCTTTCTGGGATCAATATGTTTATTATATTTAATCAGTATACTATTAACATTTTTACAAAATACCTCATTTAATCCCACATTTATTATTTAAAAAATAAATGATAATAAATCTTTTTAAGAAGATTTTTTATTTTTTCGTTATTTCACTTTTCGTTTTAGGATCGAATTTCAAAACATTCTAAAATAGTCATTTGACAATATTGTTAACTACTTTATGGCAACATTGTTTAATTCAAATTATAATTTTCTTCTATTCGAAGGTTTGAATTTTTTTATGTGATAACAAAAGTACTTTGGTATGTGACTAGCAAAATAATATATACCGACCCCCCACCTACCAACATATAACATATTCAGACTTATAACCAACATATACAGACATTACAACAGTTTAATAAGAGACGTGATTACAGCTGACATACCAATGAATATGAGGAGGAGACCAAAAAGGCGCAGGGTGAGAGGTCTTCCTTAATCAACCTGAGTAATTGGATAAGTCAGGAAAGAGATACTCACCTTATCCAGCTTGATATGTCATAATTTCTTGTTTTTTCACCTCATTTGCCGATTGTTATAATGCAGTTGACATGTGAATTTTTTTTTTAAAATATTTTTATTGAAATTTACAACTGTAAACGTATATACAACCAGTAAATTTGCTATAGGAATATACTACATGAAGGTATTTGTGAAGAAGCTACCCATTGGTAACACTTCAACGATAAATTAATTTAGGAGGTCCCTTGGCCATCTTCTTTTTAATCTTCTTTTTAATCTTCTTTTAATTTTTAGACGCCTCGGAGGGTTGCCAGGAATTGTGTTGGATGAAAGGTTACAAACTAGAGGATTGGGGTATCCAAAGAGTTTGGAATGAAAAGAGGTATATCTAGTTCGGGCCAAGTCTTCTACAAGAGGAATGTTGAAGTCTTTATGGATAATTTTATTTGTTACATAATAAAGAGCATTGAGGATTTTACGGAGGATTTTGGATTGTAAGGATTGGATATGGGAAGAATTTGATGTTTTTGTAGAGCCTGAAAGCTCAATACCGTATGTCCAAAAGGGCGAAAATAAATTAAGCAAGACAAAATAAATAATTAAATTTTGAGTTGTTTCTTATTCTTTAAAAAAAAACTTTAGCTTTTTTTTCTGCGTCATTTTGTCAAAAACACTTTTCTTTATTTTCCACCCACAGTTTCATTTTTCTTCACACAATAGCTCTTTTCCCGTTTGGGCTGCAACTAAAACTAGGGTAACTTATTTATTCAAAAACCTCAATAAGAGGTCTTTTATGCCAATCCTAACATATTATTTCGATGAATAATAATATGAATAATCATATCAATATCAATAAACTTCTAAACGGTTATCGGGAGCTAACTGAAAGTGAGTCACAAACACCCAAGTCTATAACAGTAGAGTACAGACTGAGAACAGTAGAGGGCTATCAAGCAACTTGAATTTTATTTCGAATTTAATCAAATTATTTAATTTTGAAAGGTCACAGGATATTAAAAAAAAATAATGTATTTATGATATTTACAACTGTATTAAAGAAATACATGTAACTAGTAGACCCGTGCGAAAAATTCGCACAGCATATTGTTATCAAATGCCAAATTAATAAGAAAATGCAACTTATCAAAAGATTAAGACATCAAATGTTACTTTATCGATAAATATAATCCACAAAGCAAACCAAATTAATTTAAATCTTCATTTTTGTTTGGAACCAACATGTATACAAATTTAAGAAAGCTGTAAATTTGCTAAACTTTGTCCGATTGCGGTGATTTTTTTTCCTTTTGTAGGGAATTTAGTAATCTTTTATATAATTATGGGCATAACCAAGGGAAAAGTGTGTAATTTTTCAGTTATTCGCAAATAAAGTTTATTTTCTTTCATAACTTGTTAGCCTGAATTTTCTGGGTGATTGGACTATTTTGCCAGCCTGAAGGAGAAGGAAGCCTTCGAAATTGGTGGCTCAATCTTGAGATTTGGTGAAAAATTAACGATGATATGGCTTGCCGATCAAAAACACCATCGATGAATAATATAAACTCCCCCTCTCTCGATCATAGAGACCTCAAGTCGACGAAATGAGACATGTATTCAATGACAGTACTACAATTAATGTAAGGTTGCGTGGATGCGAACCCTATGCCTTGCGTTATCTCGAAAATAGTACGTTTTTCGGCTTAAAAACGCAGGATCCGATAGTTCCGAGGGAACTATCCGGTTCTTGCTGTACACATCAAAATCTTTAAGATCCAATTTGTCCCGTATCGATCTACAGACCTACCACCGTTCCCGTATCGAAGCCTAGCAAAATGTTTGTATCAACTTTTTTTTATTTTAGAAAGAAAAACAAAAGTGAAGAATACGATTCGCTAACCCCTCGTGAAATTCTGAATCCAATGGTACCCCATTCGTGGTATTTGAGCATGACAGGAGCTTATATTTGGTACAAAACCGATTTCGAGCCTTACTGTAATAATATATGTACGGATAAAACAAAATAATCAATCTTTGGAAAATCAACAAAAGTTAAGTAGGAAGAATTTTGCCAAATCAAGGACTATCAAGAAATAGAATCACTTTAACAAAAGCCAAGTAGGTCTCCTTTCAATAGCCTGGAACAGATTGACCAATCAGAGATAGTAAGAAGCTCTTATGCAGTTCAAAATTACTGAAAGCAAAATACAAGAAGCCTGTTCGTCGTAATTTGGTAAGAAGGTTGACATAAATCGGTCTAATATTGACAGTGAGGTACGAGAGAAGCCTATCACTTTAATACTTATTGACAACAAAGTGTTTTTATTGTCAGGTATATTGCTGTTCGGTTTCCACCAACATGGCTTCAGATAAAGCAATACACATTGAGTGGAAAAAAAAATAAAAGTGGGCACCCTTTTCGATACCTGGAAAATGCTTCAATCGGATGTTTGGAGTGGCAATCATCTGCCCCAGATCCAAACCCAATCGAACATCTCTATAGGAGAATGGCCAACATTACAACCAACCCTTCCCAAATTGAGAGTTATTTCGACCAAAGATTATAAAAATGTCCAGACCTTTATAGCTTATCTATCGCAGAAGTAAGGTGGTATTTAAGCTCTAATATATTATTTCAATTTTTTATTATTCATACTGTATGATTTATCACAATATTTTCAAGTACTGTCATATTGTCTGTAATAATTCTAATAATAATAATAATAATAATAATAATGCTTTATTTATTCTGGGACAAGTCCCTCTAGAATAATACAGAGAAACAAAAATGTGGGCTAAGGAGCCTCAGAGATACATAAACAAGAGTATAGTTTGATTAAATAGTAAAAAAATAAAATAAAATAAAATAAAAAAATATTTAGAGAAATTATAAGTTACTTTCTAATTTACATTAGTTAATAATAAAAAGAATATGCATTATTATCTTCTGATTTTCTTGATATATTGATTTTATTCCCTTCGTCGTATTAATTTTACTCCCTTCGGCTTAATTGTTTTTAGCTGGAAACGTTTGAGCTTTAGCACGTTATTCCAGGAAAATTACTACAGCATCTCAAACGATTATTATAAAATTGGATAGAATTATAAAAAACATTTTTAATCGATTATCGAATCTATCGATAGTAATTTAATAATTAAATCTACATACTAAATTATACAAGATAGTGGATTAAGAATTGACTGTCGTAGATATATTGAATAGATAGTTGCTGTGTTCGGTCACGAGTAACAAAGTAAAAACAAATAAATTATAGTTACTTTTATTTTTGTCGACGTTAAAGGCCTTAAGTTCAGGCCTTCATCAGGGCTGTGGTTCTCACAAAAGCTCTTACGGATCCCTTATTACAACACCAAATTTTAAAATTCCTATCTTTAAAGTTTTCCAATACCTCAATGTCAAGAAAAAGTTTCGATTGCGTAGATCGATTACTTATTTTTAGGAAATTTCATTTTTCGCCTGATATGACATTTGGAATGGACGTCATCAAGCAAAGTTTTCAAGAGGTAAGGCTATGATAAAATTAATAAACTTATAACAGTGTTTGGTAACACAATTGCGGTATTACTTATAGAACTGAGAAAGTTTTTCTATTAAAAGCAAAATGTTCTCAATCTCCAATATACAATTAATCGACCCAAGGGGATGGCTAAGGTAATTATAAGATGATACGGAAAGTTTCGACGGAATGGAATAAAAGTTAAGCTTCAATTACTTAAAATGGTACGGGACTTAAGTCGCAATTTAAAGTCTAGATAGGGAGTGATCTCCTTTGGTTAATAGATTTGGAATTCAGAAACATTAAATAAAAAAGTTTTGTACTACAAACTATGAAAATCTTCAAACACATGACACGTTTATGTCAGATGATTATAAATTTATAAGTTAAATGTGGACAAATACCCAAGAAGTATAAAGGTCACGATTAACTTGAACAAAGAACTACTAACGATCACTAACTAAAAAGTAGTGGTCAACGGTAAACATATTTTTTTATCAGATTATTAACAATCTAACAATCGTATAAAACTTCGTGAATTCGACATGTTATCCTTACTTACGACATTTCATTAACAAAAATTCTCTGGAAATCTGGTCTTCAATTTGGAGAGTGGTAAACTTTATTAATTTATAGAGATACCAGAGATTTATGAACACGCATTCGGTTTCCACTTGAACCGTCATATAATTTTATTACAAAATAGAACAAAAAAAATGTTAAAATATAAATGTATTGATCTTCTGTAGTGAACTCATAATATGTGAGGATATAGCTAATATTTCTGAAGGCCAAAGTTTTTCTCGATTTTGTGACCAAAGTATATTCAAGTGGAAAGTATATGAATTTTTAGTAACTATTTAAACGGACAAAGTTTAACGATCTCCAGATTGAAAAAGGAAATTTTTCTTAAACATAAAAATCGTAGCGTAGAACAAAATGAAGCCATTCACGAAGGTTTAAACGAGTCTTGTATTTAATAATTCAATAAGAATCTGTCTGAATTGCGGACAAAGACTTTCAAGATTAAAAAAAAATGACGGTATCACCAGTTAAACCAATAAATTTGTATTTAATTACTTTTTATTTAAAAGTTCTTTCGATTTCGCTAAAATATCTATTAAAAAATTACTTTTATTCATAGTTTCTAAAAAAAAATTATACATTAGAATGATACGTAAATCATTTAATTATTTACTAATAATAATAAATAGTAGATATTATTACAAATCCTAAATCTAATTTAGGACCAATTGCTATTTATTTTCATTAGACTGAATTTTTTTAAGAGCTTTAATAATACAAGTTAAACTTTTACCAAAATCCTAGAACTTAATTATAAGAAAGTTCCTTAGAATACCTTAAAAATATTTTATATTTTTTTATATATTGTTTCCATTGAGTTTCACAGAAACTTTTGAAGTGGAAGTTTTTTTAAAAAGTTGCAGCCTCTGATTTAAATAATTTTCTGCTTTCAGATACGTACTCCAAAACAAAAGGTTACAGATTAAATTATCCACGGACTGAACTAATGCCGATTTCGTCGACATGAGAGATATCGTACGATGAACAATATTGTTCTGAGAGAAGAGTACGAGAAAAACAAGTTTTTAAAAATCACATACTCAAAATAAAAACAAAAGAAAATAAAGATTAAAAAATTAAATTTTTAAGGCAGAAAAATTAGTGAAGATATTTTGACACAGTATTACAGAATCATATCTAATTTTCCTTTTGGTTTTTGTAACTCAATAATATTTTTTCTCAACTGTTTATTTTTGATCTTCATAGATATTTTACAAAATATTAAATATATGATATTTATACATTTTAACATACAGTGGCTCACAGTAGAAATGATACACCTTGATTATAGAAATTATTTAATAAATAAATAGTTCAATTTATATTACATTAAAAACAATAATATATTGCAACTAATAAACATCCCAGTAAAGTGTTCTTTCCATTGTTTTCATGTTATTTTCTTATATTATGTTTCTTGGTGTTGGGTTGTATGGCGGCTTCAGTGGTAGCAAATCTTTACTACGTAGTGAAAATATTCACATGGTATAGTGAATAAGCATGTTTCCATAGACATTTTGAGAAGAAATTTGAAAGAAACCGTGCAATATTAGAACTAAAACGCTGCAAATTATTTCACAATAGTTTATTATCTCCAAACAATTATACATCTAAAGTAACATTACCTTCCGAGTTACAAAGAAAAAAAAACAAAAGGTGATTCCAATTATTGGACTAAACTGTTTTTCTTTAATCATTGGTAATATGCTAAATAAATAGCATTAGTTCAGTAACACATTTAAAATTTAAAAACCAAACCAAGGATATAACATTTGGAGCAGAACACATAAAAAAAAACCGGAGACCATATCTGTGCTCCTAATTGTCCGATTTTAACGATTTTTTTTTTTTTTTTTGTATTTTAGGAAATTTTAGGAAATTTTAGGAAAAACTTTTAAAAAACTAATACAATATCAACAAAAAAGTAAAAACTTTTCGTGTTATTCGGAATTTAATTTTACCATCCCTCGTAACTTTTTTTCCAGCTTCTTTTCGTTGAAGTATGTTATACAGATAAATTTAAAGGGCGTCGAGAAAATGACTTTAGCCAAGTTTCATTGAAATCTGTACATTCGTTTAGGAGCTACAGTCTATAGGTTTTTCGGCCGCCATTTTGAAAGTTAACGGCGGAGAGTAATGTCGATGAAGGAGGGTCATCCTCGGATGATCTCTGATTTTATATCAAAATTTGAAAAAAAATCGTTCCAGTAGTTTCGGAGAAAATGCGCGGACGGCGGACGGAGAAAAAAAATTTTATTCGTTTTTCGAATACTACGCGTCTTGAAACGTGAAACCTCAAATTTTGAGAGGGGGTTATGTTTTTGAATTTTTTGATCGATCATTATTGAAAATAATAAACCAAAAACATATTTTGTTTTTATCAGTATATTGAATCCAAACACTCTTAAATATATAAAAACACCACCACAGTCATCAAATCTTGATGTGATAGAACGCAAATTGTGGACAAAATTGGAGATAGAAATCAGAAAACACGAAATTACTAGCAATGAAGAAAAAATATCCCCTGAAGATTGTAACAGTCTAAGCCCGAAATCACCAACAAATTGGTCGACTCCATTGCAAACAGACTGAAAGGAGTGGTAAAAAATAATGTCTTGCCTACAAGGTATTGAACTAAACTATTAGGATTTAAAAGTTAATAAAAAGTGTAGATATCATTTTGACTGTGATGTAAAATTATCTAATTTTTTTAAAAATCAGTGATGAATATTTTAATTTTATTGAGTTCTCACATATTTAAAATGAGATTATAAATAAATCTTTTGAAGAGTTTCTGGTTTCATTTGTTTACTTTAATCATTTAAGTATTCTTTCTATTTTTCTACGGGGAGCATCAATTTCACTGTGAGCCGCTTTGGTCTGAATATGCAATTCAACATTGTATGTCGCCCTTACTCAATCTCCGCTGGCTTTCAATGCCAGTGAAATGGTTGAGGAAGAAGCGCAGGGATCTCCTGAAGCCTTGCTTTCCCTCCACGTGTGGGGGGATAAGTATGGTTCGGAGTTCCTATGGCCGACTGTAAATAGTGTAAATAGGTATGCCTGCGTCTAAGATGTTTATTTTCATTACTTTTTTTTTTTTCTCACTATGATATTTTATTTTGTTCTTTTGTAGCTTTATATTATTTGAAGTTAGCTTATTTTTTTTTTTTATTTGTAAATATGGTGTGAATGTGCTCTTAGAACTCTATTATAAATGTCCTTTATTGAGACAGATTGTAATATTTATCAATAAACAAAAAAAAAAAAAACATTGTATGTGAGGTTGTGTTAAGTACTCATATAACTATGGTACTACAATGCAGACAAAAAATATATAAACAAAACACAGATAAATATTTATATTAATTTATAAATATTTGTATTCATATTTTACTTGTACTAAGCCTCCACTGGAGAAAAAAAGAACATGACTGTAAAAATATAGCTCATCTGGAAGGCCGCGGTCTGGGAATAAGAAAAGTATTATCTTGCCCCTTTTTATAATCTGCTTTTTCCGCATCTGCTGTTTCTCTACAAAAATGTTGGGGTTTACTCAATGGAGATACTAAAATGCTACATTATCCCTAATGTTTTCGTAGTAGGCCTTCCTTAACTAAGGGGTGTACTTTTTTCTTTGCATACATTATGTAATAACGAATAAAAACTTTTAAGTAAGGTCAGCAAAATTAACCTATATTAAGGTAATATTAACAATATTGAAATACATTTTTTTAGTTGTTAGTTATCTACCTACCTCATTTATTTATTTTGTTGTAATTTAATTTAATTAGGTTTAAGGTGAATAATCTTTTCAAGGATTGAAATAATTTGTGCTTTTATTATTCCAATATATATTTATTGATTCAACTATCTCCAGCCATATGGCATCGTTTCGGGCGTTACGCCGTCTTTAAGTCAGTTGACTTATTTTATCACTCAATGCTGTATAATTCAATCTAATTTTAATTTGTCAGATTAGATTGAATTATACACTAGTGATAAAATAAATCAATCGGATTGAAGATGAAGAAGACAGTAACTGCCGAGACGTTGCCATTTAATTGGAACTATATTTTTTGATTTGGAAATATTTGGAACTATACCCCGGAGATTATGGGTACCGAGTCCATTTTTTTATTAAATAATTTATTGACTAAGAAATCAATTTTAATAGCTCAAAGTTATGGAAAATTGACTCCACTGAACAATAGAAAAGTGTGACATGGTGTCCTTAACCACCGGCATACAAATTCAGTATAAAAAAAAACAAATTTTTCTAGTTCAAAGTTATGGAGTATTGGCTCCCTTAAACAAATACAAAAATGGACATGGTGTGTTTACCTCTGAGGTACAGAAATGTATATATCAGAGATGATCAAATTATTAAAAAAAAGATGAATTAAATAAAAAAAAATGTTTATATCTAAGAATTTAATAAAAAATATCTGCTCTCATGACAGGTGCAGATAAAGAGGTATGAAGAGAAAAAATAAAATAAAAAACAAAAAGTGTCAAACGTATGATATGAATTTAGCATAGCTTGATTATATCATATTATATACTGTCATAAAAAAGCTGTCACGATAATATAATGAATATAATATAAAATATGACAAGTATGATGGTGTCTGTCTCGAACATGTGTTCGGTAGTGAAATGTGAAAATGTTCGGTAGAACGAATACAGCATTCCATTTAAATAATGTCACCATAACGCGTATGAATTGAAAATAAAAAATATATATATGTCAAATTCATAACTTACTGAAAAAAACTGGAAACTGTTGGAAACTTACCTAAAACAAAAAACAAGAAATTTATTCAACATATACAAACACTTACGAGAGTATAGCACACACACACAAAAAAAAAGTATCTATATTTATTTTATAATAAATTCAATTTCTTAAAGCACTTCAAAGAAATTTACAACTAAAAAGAAACCGGGCAAAATATTTGTTAAAAATTTGAGGCTCTGAAAGTGACAGTTCTAATTCACCGTTCTGCCACGTGAATGGCGGGTTAATTAATAATTTCCAACGACTTGAAAACAATACGTCATTACAAAATTTCTTTAACAATCAAAATGGAGGCACTATTCAGTTTGATGGAACCTAATCGACTAAGATAATATTTATAAATAAATAAATATCACTAGCATAGGTACAATAGTTCGAAAATTCCATCCCAAAAACAGGATCTGTGTAAAAGGGAAATCGTTTCCGAGATTAGATAAAGTCAAAAACTTTGGACTAGTGTTGTCTAAATGCGAGTCAGTATTGCGTACTAAGTCTTGGTCTTGGTCTAGAATCTAGCAACAGTCTTGCAGTTGCCTATTAGCTTATTAATATATAGATGTTACTGTAATTTTACAGAACGGGGAAACCTAACTAACCCCGAATGAAAAATTAGAACAGTTAAATGCTAAAGTATATTGATTCTACCATTTCTTTACATATACTAACTAAAATTGTCTAGTATTTCGCCTTAATTTTTATTCACAAAAACGATTTTTTTTACCTATCCTGGTCTTGGTCTTGGAAAATGCAAGA